AGGCGTTGGAGACACTCAAGGGAATGTCTGAGCGGGGAAAAGGTCAAGGAGGTCGAGAGGAAAGTCTCAAGGCTCTTCGATGTGTTGTAGATTGGTGGGTCGGCGGAGGTGCACCTGAACGTAAATTGAAGTGAGTACACTCGGTAAATCGAAAAAGATCCTTCCTCTCAGTTTTTCACATCAGGTATTTTCGTGACCAGCCTTTGCTCCATCCCGACGTCACCGACCAGCACCTTGTAGTGTGGTATTTCGAAGATTGGCTCAAGAAATACTTCTTCTCTATACTTCAAATACTTGAGAATCTCTCCCTCGATCCGTTACCCTACGTGCGAACCCAAACACTGAATCTCATTTCCACCTTGCTGCGGGAAAAGCCCGAGCAGGAGCAAAACTTGCTTCGGTTGCTCGTTAATAAACTCGTGTGTCCTGCCAATCATAACTACACCGTTTTTTCTGAGCTTACCTTCTATTGCAGGGTGACACAGATAAAGCGATATGCTCTCGGGCCTCGTATCAGATACTTCAACTTCTACAGCCTCACGCGCCTATGAAAGGCGTAGTGGTTCGCGAGATAACCTCTCTCGTCCTTCGGCCCGCTGCTCCCACCGCAGCTGCCACCGTAGCAGCAGCAGCCGCATTCGCATCTCAGGTTCCCTCGCACATCTCTAGCCGCAAGATCCGTTTCGCCGATGACGACACACCCACCCCCGCTTCCGCGTCTTCCTCTTCAGCTGCAAAGGGAAAGGGCAAAGGCAAAGCTTCTGCTGAGGAGAAAAAGCCAGTCAACACACATGCGCGGTATTATGCCACGATAACGTTCAACCAGATCGTTCTGACGCCACCTGACCGCGAAGTGGCGTTGAAACTGATTGAAGTATACTTTGAGATGTTTAAGGAGCTGTTGGGGGAAGGGAAGATTACCGGCGAAGAGGATGATGCTGCCGGTGGCGAAGAACCAACGGCTGAAGTTAAAATGGACAAGAGCGGGCGCGTTTTTGAAGGGAAAGCCGGTAAAGGAAAAGGCAAGGGTAAAAATAAAGAAGTCAAGGGTGCAGCTGGGTTTGGGGAGGTGGAAGATGAAAACTCGAAATTGATTTCTGCAATCCTGACTGGCGTCAATCGAGCACTGCCGTTCGCGAAAATCGATGCAAACGATGTCGTGTAAGTCACAAACTTGCAAGTTTTCTTGATTAAATGTAAAAAAAAACTGACTACCGCCTCAACGCCTTTTAGGCTCCTCAAACACATCGATACTCTCTTCTTCATCACCCACAAATCCACATTCAACATATCCCTCCAGGCGCTGTTATTGATCCAGCATATCTCTGCGTCTCTCTCTGCTTCTCCCTCGGGCTCATCGACATCCAAATCGATCGTGGACCGCTACTTCCGCACGCTTTACGCGTCGTTACACGACGGCCGACTGGCGACATCCTCCAAGCAGGCGATGTATTTGAACCTTTTGTTCAAGTCTATCAAAGCTGACGCAGGGATGCTTGATAACGAGAGGATCAAGGCGCTTGTTAAAAGATTCGTACAGGTTCTTGTTAGTGGCGGGAACGGTGCGACTGAGTTTATTGCTGGGGGGCTGTATTTACTCGGAGAGGTATGTAGGGTTACATCCTTACGTTGGGCAACTGGTGTTGTGTTAAGCTTACGATTTTTTTTTTTTTTTACGTTTTGGAACAGCTGTTCAGCTCTATACCTGGCTTGAGGAGCATGGTCAGTCAACCTGCGAAGGAGGATGGGGAGCCGTATGACGCTCGTAAGCGGGACCCACAGCATGCTCATGCGTCGTCGTCACCATTATGGGAGCTTGTACGTCTATTTTTCATTTTTTCATTCTCCCTTATCCTCTTGTTCTTTCTAACCTATCTCTCTTTAAACCCATCTCCTAACCCATCTCTCTTCATCTTTCATCAGACACCGCTCCTGCACCACTACCACCCAGCCATCTCTCTGCACGCGCGCCAGCTCCTCACCTCCCAGCCCTAACCGCCAACGCCGATCTCTCCCTCAACACCCTCTCCCACTTCCTCGATCGCTTCGTGTACAAAAACGCGAAAGAAGGTATCGGGTGATGCTGGTGCTGGTGCTGCTGGTGTGAAAGGAAAAGGCAAGGGCGCGAGCGCGATGCAGCCGGCTGCGAGTGGCGTCGAGGGCGTGAAGTTGGTGAAGGGGGATGCGACGGGGGTGGGGAGTTGATGATGAATGAGGAAAAGTTTTTGAAGAGGAGGGTGGAGGACGTTCCGGTTGATCAGGTTTGTTTATTTATTTATTTTGTTTGTTTGTCTATTTTATTTTCTTTTTGGTTTTTGGATTCCTCGATTCGAAAATATTTGGTAACTAACATTGGGTGTTTTTTTTTTTGTGTGTGCCAGTTATTTTTCCACAAATTCTTCACGAGGAAGAATGAACGTATGAAAATGAAGAGCGCGGATGAACAACTATCGGACGAGGAAGTGTCTGAAGAAGAAGATGGTGAAGGAGAGGGAGAGGATGGAGGCTCGAGTGATGGAGGGGAAGAGATGGATTTAACGGGAGATGAAGCCGAGGCTGAGAAAGACGTGGGTGGAGCGGTAGATGAAGCGGATGAAGATGAAGATGGGAGTGACTTGGACGAGGAGGAGGTGTGGAAGGTATGTCTCAATGCTCTAATGGACCACATCCTTCATACAGATGTCTAACTTTTTACGTGTTCTTTTTGCGTGTTCTCCTTCATAGGCCATGCAAGCGAGTATGCCCAAAGCACGCGGAGACGACGACGATCTTATGGAAGCCTCCGACGTTGACATCGACGATGATTCGGACGACCTCGGTGACGATATACTCAATGATGAAGACGACGACGCGGACTTTCAGATGATGGGCTTTCGCTGGCCGAAGGGTCTGATAACGAAGACCTCATCTCCTTTAATGGTGACGTTCCTGATGGTCTCATCGAGTATGACGGTTCGGATTATGATACAGATGCAGATGCGGAGGGAGGGGGAGGGGGAGAGGAGGAGGAGGAGTGGGGCGGAATTGATAACGGTGGTGATGCGAAGAGCAAGAAAAGGAAGAGGATTGATGAGGATAAGAAGAGGAGGAAAAAGCTCAAGTCGCTGCCGACGTTTGCGAGCTATGAGGACTATGCGAAGTTGATTGAGGAGGGTCCGGAGGATGATATATGAGACCGTACGAACAATTACTAGTCAATGTCCTAATACACATACCGTCTACGTCGCATGCCTCACTTTTTGCATGATTTCGAGTATTCTGAGTACTTTCATCGACAATCGTTTATCGTTTATGGTTCTGGTATGTTTATTGCAGACATAGGACAAGAAGTAACTAACACGACACCCCTTTCCAAAAACCCACCCAGGATCTTCCCAACGCTCTCTATCACCGTCGCACGCGGAAAATAACCCATTACTTCGAAATTCAATTCTTGGACATTTGCTAGTGGGAGTTGCTGCAACCCGATATCGAGGTCAGATTCGGTTAAGCCGTCGTTGGGAAGGTTTTGGGTTTTTAGCGAGAATATGATGTTTTCGAGGTATGGGATGGAGAGGGAGCGGATACTGAGGATTTGGGTGGGGTGAAGCGCGTGTTGGAGGAAGAGAACGAGGTAGGGGTCAGGGCGGATATCGAGAGTGAGGGATTTGAGGGAAGGGTTTTTGGAGAGGTCGATGGAGTTGTGGAAGCGTTTGAATTGCGCGACTACATACACGTAAAACATAGGTTTTCTTTAGAAAAGGGGGGATGAAAACATGTAATGTGATAACGTACTTGCGATTTCGAAACTAGGTTTCCGGATCCTGATGTCGTTACTGGATGTATCCACGGAGAAGGCGAGGGTAAGATCGACGAGTGAAGATCCAGCGGACGCTAGGAGTTTTCCGACGATGTTGCACTCCTCTTCGAGCTGATAAAACGCATACGACGTCCAGTGGAATCGGCGGAGCGACGGCATGGGGTGAGGAAAGACAAAGCGGTGAGCGTTGCGGCATCTACGGTTGCGATCTCGATTGAATGCAGGTTTACTGGCAGTTGCAGGTTGGGATTCTTTTCGTGGTCCGGTATGAATGAGGATTGGAGGAGACTAACGTGGAGTGTTTCGAGCGTTGGGAAGGAGCATACCAGTTCGTGAAAGTGGTGGTAGTTGAGAAAGCTGACGTTGTGCAGAGCGAGGGAGGTGACAAGCTGAAATCCGTTGTGTAAGCTTGAGCGGGCGGCGTCGCTCAATGTCCACCAACCGACTTTCTCAAGCGTAAGCGTCTTCAGGTGGGTGAACACACTCTCGAGGATGAAATCTCGGGATTTGGAGTTGGATTTGGATTTGGTGAGGAAGCGTCGGGAAAACAAGGCATTGGCTGCGGTGTGGTCTAATGAGCTGCGTTTTAGTCCTATACGGATGTTCCCGACGTTGGAGATGGATAAAGCGCGGATGAGGGTGAGTGTGGATAGTGGGTGCTCGCACAGGTTGGTGAATGTGCGGAGTTTCTGGTACTTGACTCGGGACTCGTCGAGAGAGAGGTGGAGGTGGTAGCGCGAACGGGGCGTCCAGAGTTTCGAGACGAGGGCGAAGTTGAGGGCGTCGGACATTGTGGTTGCGTTGGCATTGGATGTGAGAGCGATATCGAGAATTTTCTCGTGTAGCTCGACTGGCAGATGGGAGAGTGAAGTGGTGGAAGACATGGTCATTGAAAATTTAGAAATTTGAGTCAAAGTTCTGAAATTTCGGTCCGGTCCCATAGCCATCATTTAGCGCGCGCTCATCGGTCATTTCTGGCTCCTAAGTTACAAGTAAGTATGCAAATTTAAGGTCGTTTACCTTTGGAGAGCATAGTGCATAGTAATTCGTGGAGAAAAATAGGTTAATCTTTATTAGAAGAGAACGCGTTCGACTTGTCAACAAAATCTTGATTACATAGTTATGTCTCGCCGTAGCCTCTTCAGAAAGATATACAATGCTCTGACAAAACATCAAAAAATATTGGGTGCTCGAGGATGATAGGTCCAACCAGGACTCGAACCTGGGTCACGGGAAGCACATAGTTAGGACCAACGCTTATCAGAATCCCGTGTGATAACCTCTACACTATTGGACCATGACCATACTGGCGGTAACCTCCTTTACATCGAGCCCTGAACCCCAGTCAAAACCTATTGCTTGATCAAAATATACAATGCTCGAGCAAAAGATTGTACTCGTATCGTCGACACAAGGTCCAACCAGGACTCGAACCTGGGTCACGGGAAAAGGCAATCCTTTTCAGTCTTATCAGAATCCCGTGTGATAACCTCTACACTATTGGACCATGGCTATATGAACGGTAACCTCCTTTACGTCGAACGTTGAACAGGCGTCCGATAATAAGCTGGCGCAAGGAACCTGTGAGTGCTCCTGTCTCTGGAGTCGTAGGGAGGGGGGCTTTAAATTCCAATTTCATTAAGGGTACCGGTGAAGAGGTACATTTACGGTATAAGGGTCGGTTCGGGGTTGTAACTTGAGCTGTGGGGGGGTTGAACAACTTGAGGGCAAAGTTAGCAGTAACGAGCTTGAATGGGACACTTGATGTAACATGTTTGTAACAGTACTGGCCATAAAGTCTGCGTGAGGATTGTTGAGACGTGAAACGTTTGGTCCTCACTCTTGTAACCATTTTTCCATCTCATTCTCGTGTCGGGCGTTGAATGATGTTACGAGTCCTGAATGTAATGAAGGCTTGTCCTTATGGCCGGTTTCGCGTGGGAATTTTGTCCCGATTAGGGTTGATCTTGTCCAAATTTGGCAGAATCGTTTCCCCATATTTAGAAATGTCAAAGCGCTTGACATGTGACCTTCTGATGGCTCACTACTTCACTCAAACCTGGTACCCGAAACATCCCGCATCTGATACCTTTTACTCTTGAACAGTGAACTTCTTGCATCAAACGCCGCTGTGGTCACACCTCTAATGCGCAGATTATCGGTGCAGCACATTCTTTTCGCCACACGGCGTTTATCCTTCTTAATAATGCTTCCAAATTTGTAGCCCCCGCTTTTTATTTCCTCGGTTTTTTACTTTTTGTCGGCGGTCGCTGCAGTGCACGCGGCGGCTCCTTCTATGTATTTAATACTTTCGCCCACAGCTCTGATTTGTAGCGCCCTTTCTGCCTTCTGTTACCTTGCAGCAAAAATGCCAACTATCACTTCTTGTGAGTGTATTCCATTATCTTTCTCATTCATCACTCATTTCTTGTTGTGCAGTGCCTATCGAGATCACCACCAAAATTTTGCGAATATACGTCTCCTTCTACATAAATCCCTTGTTTGATATCACTCGCGTTCCCATATATGACAGTAGTCTTCTTGAACTTCAACGCCTTACCCGCCGAAAAGACCTCCTCGCAATCCTCACCACGTGCCGCTTGTTTGCTGCTGTGCTACCTGCCTTGATATTCCGCCGCGTCAATATCTTTTCAACAAGAGCAGTTGCTTCGTTTCATCGCACCGTTCATTCGCGCTCGCTTATCACGGGTCATTTCGCGGAAGCCTTAACTTACGTCGAGTTTTCTTTCTCGTTTAGCCGAGCCTTCCCTCTTGGATCAGTTACCACTGGCAATTACATGGGTGAAATTCTTCAGCGGGCCCCTAACGTTCGATGCGTGGCATTCTCCTTTGATCCTGTTTGTCCACTCTTCATATCCCGACTCCTCACCTTCGTCCGAAACCAACTTCCTTCACATGTTTCGGCAATTCTCTTGCGCATGGAAATCACAAACCATCCTCTTCCCCCTGCCACTGTATTCAATCGGGTTATTTGGTCTGATCGCACCTGGCCAGCATTTTTTGCTTCGATTCCTCATGTATCTGAGGTTACTGTGATTACTATGCAATTTCTCGTCTGGCCACCCTTTCCATGCGTTGAAACTGCAATGAAAGAATGCTTGGCTTGCGAATGCGAGTCCTGCTCTCCAGCGCTTGCAACTTCATTATGGTCACCATGCCCTCCGACATCTCGCCTTCTTTACTTATGTTATGAATGTCCAGGCTGGTTTGATCGAACCTCCTGATGTCCTCGCACACATTTCCTGTGGTTATAATTGTTCGGAATGGATGCGCTGCACTACTGGCTTTATTAGGGATCGCGCTGTTTTTCCTGCTGCTGTTTCTTCTCCGCAGTATGCTCGTCTGTTCATTTTTGGGAAATCTTTGCCGTTCTGTTAGTTTTATCGAACTACTATACTGCGATTTATTTGCTATCATTTTTCTCGTTTCTCAATTTTTTTGGTCGCTGTAATTCCATCTTGATGTAACCAGTCATTCATGTGATTAGTATCTCGTTGCTGCTTTCATCTCCATGCAGATAAATTGCAATATAAATTTGCTGGTGCGCAAGCCGCACTGCATTTTCTTGTCTACTCGAGGGCCAAATACTGGCTTCTACGCGCTGCCACTGCTGCCTTCTTCATTCACATCCAAAGACATCTGCTTGAGTCTTTTCCTGGTCACTTCCACCTCCTCTTCATCAAAAGCTGCTCGTTTCCTCAGTTGGTTTACTTTTCTTCCACCACTCGAACCAAGCAATGCTTTCGTTTTGATCCAAGCCTGCAGTTACGCAGTGTGTTAGTTCTTCTTTATCTTCTTTTAGTGTTTTAGCACTCACCTGTGTGTGCTTACCCTCTAGAAGTGTTACTGACCTCAATAACAGTTTCGCTACCCCATTCGTTGGATTACTGGCACCTCGTCCTTCGATTGCAATGACAGCGAATGCAATATCTACGACGTCACCTATGTGCAATTGATGCGGCGCAATACTTTCTGTTCTGTGCATATTGGTGAGTGTGCAGCTCTTTCGTGCGGCGGCCTACATCACTTACTTTTTCTTTTCTTTACCGTTCACCTCAACGCCGAAGTTTACAACATTCTCGTCTCCGTGTACATAGCCCACCCCACTTGCCTTCACATCTCGCATGAAGTTGTTCGAATCTATCGTCTCGTCAATTACTGCCCATTCCATGTTAGGTGCTTCGTTTTTGGGTGTGAACACGCGGCTGCTGAATTCCAGGCCACTATATCTTCCTAGATCTTTGATTTCAATTGGTTTAAGTCCTTGAACATGTCTTGCGAGTATCGCGTAGACATCCATCACAGCATCTACGTCCTTATCAAATCCCTCACTGCCTAGGCCACTCACTACAATGGATTGCTTCAAGTGCCTAAGCTTTTTAGCGCTTCTGTGGGTTCTCTTTCAGTGCGAAGCACTTGGTCTGCACGATTTGGCAGTCACTTACTTGTCTCCTCTAACTGGTGCCAGTTTTTTGTCCTCGATCACACCTTGAATGTGAAACATTACTTCTTCACTGAGTTCCCCTGTTTGCCGCCAGGTTACCCTCCAGCAATCTGGTTCACTGTATTTTTTCACATCAACCATATTTTGCAATGCACCACTCTGCTGAATATTCAGTGCTCGCTCTATGTGTGTCTGATTTTTTTGCTCTACCTCGGTCAATTGTCTTGTTTGTGTGTGAAATGGTCTGTCTTTTTCTCTGCTTGTTCGGATAGTGCTAAGTGTTTCTTCTGCGTGCTTGTGAGTTGCTTTACTTTGGACTAGTCACTGATTTTAACTCACTAGCTTCGTTTGCACCGTAGTGTTCGTCCATGTTGCGCTACTCTGATCTCGACTAAGTGCACTGCCTTATATTCTTGTAATTTGCTTGCCTTCTTGGGCAATTTAGTGGACCACATTTCTTTGTGACTTTTTGGTCCCTTTTAATCGCCTCCGAGGCGCTTTCCTCGATCGAGGGCTACTGGTGCTCTTGCTCTCTGGTAATCATTTGTGGAGCTGGTCTTCTAATTTGACAGCTTCGCGCTCTCCAATCCCTCACAGTTATTTCTGCCTTTCCGAGGGGCTTTTCATGCTCTGTACTCAGAAACTCATTTGTGGATCCCTTCTTCTATTTTGACAGCTTCGTACCTGTAATTCTTCGCAGTTTTTTTTTTCTGCCCCATTTACTTGCCTCCGAGGTATTTTCCACTTGAGAGTTACTGGTGCTCTGCCACGCTCTCATGGATCTCACATTATAATTTGACAACTGTGTGTGGCCCACACGGGTTTTTTTTTTGCTTTTTTTTTTTGCACAACGCGGGTTTGTTGCTGGCAGTCGGTCGTCACCGCAGGCTATCTTGACAGCTATACGCCATCTGCTGGTGTCTTGGCTTCTTGGTTGCCCGCGCTCACATTTACATACCAACCATTACTCTAACTATTACTGCTTCTTCGAGCTCTCCTCGGATTTTCTCTAATTCATATCTCTCGGTTTTTAGGTGGCCTACTCCGACTCCGACTGTTATGACCCGGATCTAAATCCTATACACCCAATCTTTTTTCTTCTGTAACCAACTATGAACACTATCATTAATACTTCTACTTAACATTTTACATTCATTAGTTATTCAACACCATTTGGGTTAATGCTGCACACATTCTTCCAGAACACCAGAATGATCTTTAACAGTCACTGCACAGTCTGCACAGTCATGACATCATTCTAGCTCCACAACTATGATGTCATCTTGCTACTCCACAATCATGATGTCATTCCATTGCTCCGCAGTTATGATATCACATCACTGCTCCACAGCTATGACATCATTGCATAGCCTCTTTACATCAATGACTCAATATCAGTCATTGCACAGCCAGATATCTGAGTCAACTACGGTTCCGCATACATGACTCAATATTAGTCATTGCACAGCAGTACATAGTCAGACTGACTCATCCGCAGTATTTCCGCAGTTATGACTCAAATCTAGTCATTCCGCAGCATTTCCTAACTAGTACACATTGCACAGTATATAAGTAGTCTAGATTTACCAATGTACGTTAGACGTATTATTTTTCTTAAATCCAAACCCCCACTTGTTTGCTGTTATCACTTGTGTGAATCACCAGACCAACTCATTGTATCTTGTTGAGCTATCTCCAAGCTACAATACACATTTATACATCTTGTTGAGCTAACTCCAAGTTGTATCCACTAATATTCACCTGTTGAGCTATCTCCTAGTGAATACTTCTTCAATTGCCACTTGTTGAGCTATCTCTGAGTTGCAACTTCCTATTACTTGTTGAGCTATCTCCGAGTATTAGACATCACACTCACTACTACTTGTTGAGCTATCTCCGAGTATTAGTTCTGATTCATATTACTGCTTGTCGAGCCATCTCCGAGGGTAATCTTATTATTATTTGTTGAGCTATCTCCAAATAATAACTTCTGTGAGTTTCATATTACAAACTAGTTACTAATTTTACTTGAGCCTAGTTGT